ATTTCCGTAGAACTCTCTTATACACTCACAACTCTGTCGATCATCACAGCATTCTAGTGACGAGGCGAGTCGTGTTTAATTTCTGATGATGGGACTGCGTGGATGGAGAAATGGAGTCGTGTCTTTTTAAAGAGTATTAATGTGATGTGAATATGAGCTAGTAGTTTCGTACAAGGCCACACGATTGAGTAATGGATAGCAGCTCGGAGTGAGGATTCGGAGAGCCAAGTACGAGTCAAATCCACTTTGTTAATTTTTTTTTTTATAACAAGAAATAATTTTATTAGCTGTTATTAAGCAGGACTCTCTATCCTTGATTGGTAATCAGGATAAGAAAAGGACAACTGATTTCAAAACCATTTCTGGCCCTGATAAAAGCACATACTTGAACTATAACTAAGATCCGCTTCACATAGTTGCAGTATAAACCACATGTGGGGTCTGTGGATATTGAACAAGCACAGATTTTCCTGAGCTGGTATTGGACACCCGCCCTAGTAGTCGGGGTGCCTCAGATACGAGTGGCCAGCCTTTATAAGCAGAGCGAGATGTTACAGTGTGGCTTCCTGGCTTTTTAGCCACGAAGCTATCACCTTGCACGAGGCGGAGTAGAGCAAGTCCTGTAGCAATAATATTGGTTGTCGTCGTGATAGTAATAGTTATTTTGTTTCTGGCTACAGGCGTAGTGTTTGTTGTTTCCATTATTGGTTTTGTATTGCTGTCCACAACTTCGTTGTCGTTATTGTTGTTAGCCGTGATGTGGGACAGACTTTGATGGTTCCCCTACATTGCGCCACACACACACACACACACACACACACACATATATATATATATATATATATATATATATATATATATATATATATATATATATATTGGGAAATATGGGCTCTTTTCGCGTAACCGGCTCACAATTCAAAGGAAATGAATGATGGAATTTGTCGGCCTAAACAGGCATTAACACCATATTCTAATTAACGCGTCATCATGTTCTGTCGAAACGGGAAGGGAAATGAAACAGTGGAATGGATCTGGGCAAAATTCAGGTGGTTGATAATGGATACGGGGGCTGGTAAAGTGAAAGCCACTGGAAGGGGTAGGTGAGCTTGAAAGAAATGGAGATGTAGATTATTATTATTGTTGTTGTTACAAAATATTATTATTATTATTATTGTTGCTGTTGTTGTTGTTATTATTATTATTATTATTATTATTATTATTATTATTATTATTATTACCAACAACACCTTTATTATAGTCTTAAATATTTTTATCTATATTTTATGTGTATATTTTCCCAAAATATAATTTTCAATATTATTAAATAATGTGTGCATTATTATTACTCAACAGACAAAAGTGATGCTCCATTTGATGCGATTACATATGCGCATGAATGAAAGGTGGCGTTGCGATTTTAAACTTTTTAATTTAAGTTTCTTTTTTTTGTTAATATATTTTGGGGTATATTTTCTGAACGATTTCATTTACTTTCTTTTTGTTTTTGATCATGTTTTTAGAAAGAATCTCACATGATGATAATAGAAGAATTACCAAAAAAGGTGAAATGTTGTAAGAATTGGACGTAAATTTCCCGAGCAGGATTTAGCGATTAAAGTACTTTTTATAAACTTTCGTCTTATTAAGTGGTTGCTCATTATTTTCATTATTCTGCTTGGACTACGACCGTTACTCATTGATTCCCAGGACTAGCACATTGTATCTGTTCCGATTCCCAGCGATTCAGAGCAGGAATCAGTGAGACATTCTGACCAAAAACCTATACGTCTTAGTTCTCTGTACAAGCTTTAGACTTTTCGAATTAGGATCAGAGTGGAGGATCTGTTCAAACCACTTATATTCTGACTTGGAATTTTGTATATATTGTCTTAAATTAAAAAAAGATCATAGGAGCTAAATAACAAAATACCTTAAATAAATAAATAAATAAATAAAAGTTTTAATGTTATTTATTTTGGATAAAAATCTACATAATCTTCACTGCTTCCATTATCGCTTGGAAAGGAAAGAAATATTTTAACATTGGATATGATATCAATAATATTTCGTCCAAATCGCTTTCACCAACGGTGGAGTAATGGAGAGCCGAGTTCGAATTCCAGTCGAATACGTGCTAATACTCTTGGGAAAGGTATGAATCCTCGTCTTCTCATGCTATGGATAATTAACAAGACAGACCGGGTTTTATAGCCTTGGATGGCAGAAAGAAATGGCAACCTACTGTGGGAAAAAATCTGCCTCGTCAGTCATGTACATTGTCAGTCGACCCAGTATTTTCTGAGCGACTGTTCGGTTGTACTCTCTTCCTACGGGCGGGACGAACCCGAAGGAGGCTACGCCGAAGGGCGAAGTCTCCTTCGGGGAGGTAAAACCGTTTATACGGGTTCAATGGGCATATTTTTGGCCGAGCCCACGGGCTCGGAATGCCCACGTTAAAAAGGCCTTGTGCCACATGACACCCTCGTGGGGGGGACTA